AGATAGCAGCTGATTAAGGGAATACTCCTAGGCCATAAGTCATTTATTCTCTGGGCTAATTCCGGTATATTGTACGTGTACTGCATAGGTTGTCTTGCTGGTACCGAGTGTTCGACATACGATGTCCGACATTTCGCCCCACGTGCTGGGAGATTCTTCAGGAGCTGAACGTCACGTGGTACACGTGTCATAGTTTGTTCATGCGTATTTCTTAACAATAAAAAAGATATCCATAGACCGATGCTCAAAAATCAGAGCATCTCCATGCTTATCTTAAAACGCTGGTGGGGGAAATTCCACACTCGCATGATGGGGGCAAGATATTGAATAGGATAGCCACTGTTGACTGCCCGCTTGGCAGCGATCATTTTGATCGAATCTCCCTCCCTTCATTCGTCTCTACGGCCTCACAAAAACAGCTCTCCCTGTTGCTTCCCACTTTGCGGTTCATGGCTTAGAGCCTTGGCTTAGCAAAATCTGAAATACTGGACATGGGATAAAAGATAACATGCTTTCCAATGCCTTGCTCACGCCACTGCTGACATAAGCCCCCCCCCCCACACTCGAGGGAGTGCTAGAGCCATTCGGGTGGGTACTGTCTTGCCAGATGTCTTCTCGGAAGAAGTGGGAGTTGCTCACACTATACCCCACCGCAAGCAGCCTGCCAATCGACTGCGGTGAACCCATTCGCACTACTGATGGGTGGACGGAGGTGGCGGGGGGGGGGTTAAGAAATGTGGCCCTGCCGCACCGCGAGATAGAACTGGGGACCTCCAGATTGCTCGTCCGGTTTGCCAACCCTTAGACACCACGGCAGGCATCTCTTCTGAAACACACGTACTTTCCGGAAGATTGTCCGAGAATTTAACTCTTCTGTTCGAATTCGCTGAACGCGAATAAATGATTCATTGCCGTGCAGATGTCTCTCGTCCGCCGAGATAGCCATTAAAGGGGCTCCCATCCTGTGTGCCCCCCCCCCCCCCCAATCCATCCCCTTCCCTTCCCTCGGTCAGAAATCTCGAGATCTGCGGAGACGCGAGCGAGGGGGGGGGGGGGGGCGCGTGCGGAGCCGGCAGAAGGCGGCGCGCGTTTTAATCGCGCTGCGGCGTGCCGCACGCTCCGGGGAGCGAGGCGGCCTGATTGTTATTCTGCACCGGGCTCACGGGCTCACGGCTCGCGGGCTCGCGGGCTCACTCCGCTCCGCTAGCGCGGCCCGGTGAACGGCGCAAACAGCGGCAGCGGCAGGCCAAGTGGACGCTTCACATTTGCAAGCCCCCCCCCCCTCCCCCCACATTCACCGCTTTAACAAAACGGTGGCGATGATTAAGAGGGTTGGTTTATTTGTCCTGGAGAGCCTCGTTGATGCCTCGACACTTTTCTTTTCGGCAGGGTCCTGCATTGGGAGTCGGTTTTATCGTGGTGTTGGGTGTGGGATGAAATCAAACATGGGAGGTTATTTAAGCGTACATTTTGGTGACTGGCAGGCACCTTGTGAAGAGGTGGTGTTACCCACACTTTACCCCACCAGACGCGACCTGACCATTCATTAGCTCCGGTGCGCCGAGTTATACTGTAGGATGGACTGGCATGCTCGCAGATCGAACCTACAACTTCCAGATTGCTAGGCCAGTGTGTTGACCCTTACAACACGGGCACAACAGCCCTGCAAACATAGCAAGCGGGTTACATTTTGATTAATTCGTGCAACCAGGAGCAAAAAAGTCAGCACAAACTCGGAATGAAATCATGGCCAAAATGTACCGGTGGCTGCTGTCCACTCATTCTTACAACAGAGCAGAGTGCGATGGTTCTTCTCCATTCCCCATTCTCTTCCTCATCCCTCCCCTTGCCCCTCCACCCCGTCCCATCCCTCCCCTACCCTTTCACGATCCTTGAGCGTTCCCTCGATCGCGGTCACTCTTTTCTCATCGCTTGTAGCACGCCCATCCGCCATCTGACTTATTTTATTCCGTCCCCACTTGAATGAAGGCGCTCTGTAAATATAAAATTAGATTGGATTAGATGTTCGCAATAAGCCCTGGCGTGTGCATTTGTGAGAACGGTGAGGCATGTGCTGTGTCTGATGTTATATTATCCGATAGCTATGGGAACAGGGGCAGCAAAGTTCTGACTGCAATCACAACCAAATGTCGGGTCCCTGGCTATAGTCACGTTGTTGCTCTAGCTGGCAAAGTGAAACGATGCGATACAAACAAACAAAAAACACACACACCACTCGAACTTTCACGCGAGCAAATTCAGGGCACGTCAACGCATCAACCGCATCCCTTCCAGCATTTGAAAGAGACGAAGCTGTTATGTGATGTGGATATTTTCAATGGCTCAAGTAGACCGAAGAAAAACAACAATAAAATAAATCCAACTTTTAATGGGAAACGGGGCCAAACAACGACACAATGATGGCACTGTAATGAGAAAAGGTGCCGTGGTGATCCTGCGGAATTGTGAACATTGATTTTTAAGCGAGCTGATAGGTCACTTACTGCTGTGCCGGGAAAGTATTCGTGCATCTGCTCGTCCCTTCGAGGATGCTCGACTTATTTCCATGAAAACTACAAATCCGCTGAACCAATCGCTATAGAGCTTGCCAGCACCAGAGCTCAGATCTGCGTTGTTTACTCAGGCAACATCCACGACGGAATACTTTCGGAATACAATTTTAACTTTAACAATTATCGTAACGTAATGCTTTGTACACGTGTCAACGAATGCACACGTGCGTTGGAATGTACCCACGTGCCATTTGGAACTTTCAAGCTGCTGACTCTATATTGGCATACAGTTCTTAGCAGCTTTCACACATGCACCTGGACTCAAAAGCTAGAAGCGTCTTTGCTAGTTGCTCTTAAGTCCATCTCTGTGACCCGTAGAGTAACACAGAATCTAAATCGCATTCACAGATACATGAACGGAAAGGCTCGCTAACCAAGAACGCACACCCTCTCGAACCAATGAACGTCATTCCCATCGCTCGGACAAAAAATTAAACTCGCACGGTTAGGAAGAAAATATTTTTTTCTAATTTTTTTTTTAAATGACACCTGCTGAACTTGTTTTCATTTCAGTCGCCAACTTTGCCTGTGGCAAATTCCCTCCGTTCCGCGAGGGTTTCATGAGCGGCCAGAGCCTCGCTGTATCGGCGTCCCACCCCTCCCCCCGTAGCGATCGGAGCGCGATTAACATTCAATTGGCGCCGCGTGCGAACCGAACTCATCAGGCGCGCCAAGCTCCACGCGCGCGGACGTTCCAAGTGCGCAGGACCGTACATCTTTGGCAGGCTGCAGTGATTGATTTATACTTTTAATTATTCAGCCATCCGTTCGTTCATTTCGTTGATGCAACCCAGTGGCTGGCGAGCGGTTCCGTGCCGTTCGGTTCGTTTTGACGATTTACCTCTCTGAGCGCACTCGGTGCCAGTGTCGGGACATTGGACTGCGCTAGGCCACAGAAGTGCCTCTGGCCATGTGATTATAATTTATACTCACGACAGCAAGTTGGCCTTTTGTTTTGTACGCACATTCATGCGTACAAAACACAAAGATAGAGCCCCCCTATAGCCTTAACAGACTGTTGGGGCAAGTGCTGGTAAGCGAGCGCATGTGAAGGGTGGCACAGCACACGAGGAGGGGGGGGTAGCCACCACCGCGCCCGGCCGCCTTTGTTTAAAACGAATCAGAAGATTAAGTGGGGGCATCTGGTTCGTTTTAAACAAATATTCATGGACTGCCAGTTCAGACATTAAAAGCAGCAAATACGAAGGGAAATCCACCCAACATCTCCTTCTGCTGCCAGAGGCTCGTGATGTAAGGGAGGTTCTGAGAAAAGTGCTCTTGAGTCACAGCCTCTACGGCCTCCCCAGATCCCGCATCTCCCAACTCCAGGTGATCACAAAAGCTATTCGCAAACTTCTCACCCACACCCACAAATGAGACCACATCGCCCGAATACTCAAATCCCTCCGCTGACTCCCAATGCAATTACAGTTCAATTCCAAGATCACACTCATCATCTTTAATATACTCCATGGACTTGCCCCTGCCTACATTCTCTCCTCTAATCTCACCCTGCTCCCCAACCCGCACTCTCCACTCCAACAACCAAGGCTTTCTGTAGAAGATAATCACTGCCGGGTTCGGAGCGCGGCGCGCTAACCACCGTGCCACCGCTCCACCAAACGGAGTACCAGAGAAATCCAATTTATTTCTCAGTGTTTAGATGAATTGTTGTTTTGCATGTACCATTTTCACTACATTTTGATTTTCATAATTGAGAAAAATCATTATCCCAAAAACAATTAAAAGGAAATGATTTCAGTATGAGATTTGGTTTCGGAGAAAGAGAGAGCAGCCAGCGCATGCACATCACGCCACAGATTCTACAATCACAGCGCTACTCTTTCTCAAGTTTAATCAACCCACTTCACAATGTACACTTTAACAATTGTTCACATGAATATGGAGAAAGTTGTCACCCAAAAGAAAATAAGTAATCGCACCATGCTAATTTGAATATTGGTTACTTAGAAACCTCAACGAGTAACCCAGAGTCCAATGCACGCTTCGAGTGTCGCCCTGCAAGACCCGTGATGTTTGTAAGATTCATTCACTTACGCATCAGTCCAGAAAATCAGGTCAGTAGACAGCCTGTAGGCTGATGAACTCGACCGTTAATTATTTTTTTCATGTCCATTTATTGCTGCATTTCCCACAATCCACCACAATGGCACAAAACACAATTTTTTTGAACCAAATACAGTGGCAGCAAAAGATGGGATATGCGGAAATGAAACAATGAAAATCGACTCATGTTCAGGACTTTAGGCGGATCGAGAGCGATGGAAACCGATTGTGGAGGAGCTCATCCAACAGTGGATAGATCGTGACCGTTGATGATCACGATGACGGTCAAGGGCCGACACGTCCGCCCATCAGTCCCGGTGTTGTGGTCTGCGCTCGTGCGAGAGGCCATGGGGACGGTACCTGGCTGCAGGTGAAGTCACGTGCTGGGTTTCCACTCTTGCGTTGCTCCCAGGGTCTCCACAGGGTGAGCGAGCGTGCGTGTGAGTGTGTGAGTGAGCGTGCGAGTGAGCGTGCGAGTGTGCATGCGAGTGTGCATGTGAGTGTGCATGTGAGCGTGCGAGCGTGCGTGCGAGCGAGCGTGCGTGTGCTCAGATGGCCTTGCATGTGAAGCAGCTGGGTGCTGTAACCACACAGGAAGAATGAAGACCAACTTGCTATGGACATACGCGTGTATCACCACTCGGATTGCCACCTATCCTGGTATCACAAGGTGGTTTTGCTGTCCCGGAATATCCGTAAAGTATTCTCGTGGATATTATAATCCGAGTTGCTTTGTCGTTCGCGTAACAAAGCTAGATTTTAGTAGTCGCGTTCAATCTGGTTTCCATAGGTGGTGGCTGATATGCTCTGGTTAAGGTGCAGATGTGGAGTGTGAGGTGGTCACACTGTACGATTTAACACCACTCAAGGCAATGGAATTATAATTCGCCCCTCTTCCGATATTAAGAGACATTATTCTTCTGCTTCCCATATGTCCCTGGTTTTTAGTACCACAGACGTGACAGCTATAATATCACACACACACGATACATTATGGAATATAATCCAGCTGTGTGGTGCGGGCGTTGTGGCCCATCATCCCTCAAGGTTCAATAAAATGAAGACTAATTTGTACAAAGTGATCAGAAATGTGTAATTAACACCTGCCATATTAAGGGCCAACAGAGAGATATATGTATTTTGAACTTCTTTCGCACCATACGTAGCCAACCGTGCTACTCGGAGGTGCAAGGACAACAAACTAAGAAAGCGCTTCGTGTGGCATTTAGAGTTGCTTGACTTTTGGTGTTAATATTATTTACGACCGATACTCGTCACGTGCATTCACTTCCTAAAGGGGGCTTTTCATGGCCTCGCCTTTGCTAAAACACCCAGTTGCAGTGGGCGTCACCGGTGATTTGTAAACCGTGATAAACCGAGCCCAGTGGTGTCCACGGAGAGGGCTCTTGTTTACAGCATCGTGACACTCACGCTGATGGACATCAGCGTGAGTGTCACAGGTCACACACTCTGCTGACGACTCCGAAAACCAAAAGTGGCCAAGCGCTCGCTGCTTAAACAATCACTGCTCACAGACATTGTCCCAAAGGCCTTTTTTATCCGATTGGAAACAATTTGTTATTTTGTTTCTCTGCACCAAATGGCAGCCTTTTGCGCTGTTTAGGTTCGCAATTGAGGATGCCTTTTCATTTATCGCTTTCCAAGCAAGATTGAATGCATTTGTGCATTAACTCTGTCCATCTGCCTGTAACACGGCCTCACGACAAACACTCTTGTCAAGTGGATCCAACATGAACATGGCATAAAGGTTTGTCGCTATCAGAGACTTGCCCTGTTCAAAACCGGCCACAATGATAAGTGGATTTCCCACAACAGGGAACAGCAAAAAAAATACTCTTTGAAAATATGCCAACGCATTTGGCCATGACCGCTACCAGTCGGCTTCTGTTCTCTAAGCAGTCAGGAACACAAACTCACTTTGCCGAAGCGTTACAGAATCAACACGGGTGCACGATTTTCCCGACCGTGTGTGTACAGTTACTGGCTCCCACTCATTACTCAATATCACGAGAGCGTGTAAGGGCTCGCCCCCGTAGGCTGCCTCAATGAATTAATTTAATATTCCCTGCTGTCGCGGGACAGCTGTCAAGGGGTGGGATAATGGGGGGGGAGGGAGGGGGGGAGATCGGCCGAGGGATTCAACGTCGCGGGAAAAGGGAGATAAGGGAGCGGAGGATGCGTTCGAGATGGGTAAGGAAGAAGGGACAATATTGGTGAGGAGAGAGGAGGACCGAACAGGTTCGAGGAGAAACATGGAGAGAGATTAGTGAGTGGGGGACTACGAGCGAGGGCGCTTTTTGGCCACGGCTGCCCAGGAGAGAATGTGCGGTGGAGTCATCCACGTCCAGGAGTCACCCACGTCCAGGAGTCACCCACGTCCAGGAGTCACCCACGACAGTGGGAAGGGAGGCCTTCACTTCTGTGGCCCTGAGCCAGCTGTGAGAATTCCACATTACCAAGGTGGAGGCCATTTACTCCGCAGCACGGCCGTCGTCAACCTCGCACACGGCGATACCGGTTGTATCGACCACACAAGAGGATGTTGGGCTGAGAATTTACTCCCGACTGGGATGTCACCTCGGAAGCGCACATGCTGTCTCTTACCCTCCGCTCTATGAAATAAACTCACAAAAATAAGCCACACTGCTCAGGGAGGAGGGAGCCGCCTCCGTAAAATAATTGACAAAGTGCACACTTACTGTGTGTGTTGAGACGCCACGTTAAGGGTTGCATTTCTTCACGGGTTTTCCATTGTTTCAGGTGGTCCGAAGTAAAATAATCCACTGATATGCACATACTCTTGCATGCTGTAGAGCAAAGGACGGTCAGCACACACATTCAAAAGGTGATTATCATGGACACAGGACCGATATCCACAACCGTCATTCTAACTCATAACGCGCTGCTGCACCGTTTATTAACTCGTAACGCGCTGCTGCACAGGATTCTAACTCGTAACGCGCTGCTGCACAGGATTCGGTCTCTCTCCAAGAGAGAGAGGCGACGACTCAGCAGGCGCGACGAACCGCAGACAAGCGGGAAGGCAGCGGCCAGGAGGTGAGACGGTGCCAACATTTGCCCGAGATCTGCGGTCCTCTATGTGTGAAGGTGTTATCGGCCTAGTAATCAGTGCTTGCATGTCGGAGGAAACCGGAGCACCCGGAGAAACCCCACGTGTGCGAGGGGGGGAAACGCTCTATCCCATACAGATGGGGCAGGTGAAGTCCACGTGTTTGCTCGACTGCCTTATCCTGGCAAGCCAGAGAGTATGGCACCTCACCGCCCACGGCGAGAGAGTTTCACAACATCTGTGCGGTGATCCGCCAACCCTCGACGCTGCCTCCACGGTGCTGCTGCGTTACAGGCAGCCAGCCACGTGCCTAGTCGCCACCACCGCCCGGCATTGCCGATCGCTCTTTTAGCCCAGCGGAACCCTCTTGCTGAACGCGTCTTGGGAATCAGTGACACTCTCCTTGAGCAAGCCAATGTATTGATTCCATAGAATCCGCCCTGCAGATTCTGCCGTGGCGTAGCGGTGAGCACGCTGGGCCTGCGACCCAAAACGCCACCGGTTCGATGTCCCTACGCGGGAGTTGGAACAGCGGAGCGAGTTCCTCGACTTCCCCCAGCGCCTCTGGACGACCACGGTCAGTCGATCGGCAGGTCGCGTGTGGTGGCCAGCGTGGAAGAGTAGGCCAAATACAACTCGATAGAGTTTCTCTAAGAGCCCACTCTAGGGGGAGGCCCCTTCTGTCAGCAGTGGTGCGAGCAAGAACCACGCAGAGCTGCACCTTTGCCTTTACCTCACGGCGGGCATCTCAAGTGTGTGCCTGTGTAGTGGAATGCAGAGTCTCGTTGCTATCTGCTCGGGCGCTCCCTGTGTCTGTGTAGCAACGCCGCGCGTGGAAGGGTTGGTCGTGGGGGGAATTCTTATTTCCCATTATTTTAGAGTCGAGAGGCAGTGCCGCACACATTAATCACCGTCGTTCATTCTGCAGGGGCAGCACGGCGTGCGTGTTGTGGTCAAACGGAGCGTGGCGCAGCGGTGCGGGAAAATGCAATGTTATATTGCCTCCCTGAAAAGCATTTCTTAGAGACACTGAAATAAATACGGCGCGGAATGCGACGATAAATTTCCTTCGGAGAAATAAACCGGCTGCTGATTTTGCTTTCACGACCCGAGGAGCAGTTTGCCGCGAGAAACTCATGTTCCTCGCAGCGAGAGAGAGGAGGGCGCGCAGATGAAATGGGCAAATTCGACATCAGCAGATACACGAATGGAAATTCAGAGGAGCGGCCGGCGATTTCTAAAATAAACATCGGACGACCGCCGCAGGGTGCACGAGTGGAGGAGCTCTTTTGAGGATATTCATGCGGAGCAAAGCGCGTGTGTGTTAGTCTCGTGTGTGTGTTAGTCTCGTGTGTGTGTTAGTCTCGTGTGTGTGTTAGTCTCGTGTTAGTGTTAGTCTCGTGTGTGTGTTAGTCTTGTGTGTGTGTTAGTCTTGTGTGTGTGTTAGTCTTGTGTGTGTGTGTTAGTCTTGTGTGTGTGTTAGTCCCACGTGTGTGTGTGTTAGTCTCGTGTGTGTGTGTTAGTCTCGTGTGTGTGTTAGTCTCGTGTGTATTAGTCTCGTGTGTGTGTGTTAGTCTCCTGTGTGTGTGTGTTAGTGTGTGTTGGTCTCCTGTGTGTGTTAGTGTGTGTTAGTCTCCTGTGTGTGTGTTAGTGTGTGTTGGTCTCCTGTGTGTGTTAGTGTGTGTTAGTCTCCTGTGTGTGTGTGTGTTAGTGTGTGTTAGTCTCGTGTGTGTGTTAGTCTCGTGTGTGTGTGTGTGTTAGTCTCGTGTGTGTGTTAGTCTCGTGTGTGTGTGTGTTAGTCTCGTGTGTATTAGTCTCGTGTGTGTGTTAGTCTCCTGTGTGTGTGTGTTAGTGTGTGTTGGTCTCCTGTGTGTGTTAGTGTGTGTTAGTCTCCTGTGTGTGTGTTAGTGTGTGTTGGTCTCCTGTGTGTGTTAGTGTGTGTTAGTCTCCTGTGTGTGTGTTAGTGTGTGTTAGTCTCGTGTGTGTGTTAGTCTCCTGTGTGTGTGTGTGTGTTAGTCTCGTGTGTGTGTTAGTCTCGTGTGTGTGTGTGTTAGTCTCGTGTGTATTAGTCTCGTGTGTGTGTTAGTCTCCTGTGTGTGTGTTAGTGTGTGTTGGTCTCCTGTGTGTGTTAGTGTGTGTTAGTCTCCTGTGTGTGTGTTAGTGTGTGTTGGTCTCCTGTGTGTGTTAGTGTGTGTTAGTCTCCTGTGTGTGTTAGTGTGTGTTAGTCTCGTGTGTGTGTTAGTCTCCTGTGTGTGTGTAGTGTGTGTTGGTCTCCTGTGTGTGTTAGTGTGTGTTAGTCTCCTGTGTGTGTGTGTTAGTGTGTGTTAGTCTCGTGTGTGTGTTAGTCTCGTGTATGTGTTAATCTCGTGTATGTGTTAATCTCGTGTATGTGTTAGTCTCGTGTGTGTGTGTTAGTCTCGTGTGTGTGTTAGTGTTAGTCTCGTGTGTGTGTGTGTTAGTGTGTGTGTTAGTGTTAGTCTCGTGTGTGTGTTAGTCTCGTGTGTGTTAGTGTTAGTCTCGTGTGTGTGTGTGTTAGTCTCGTGTGTGTGTGTTAGTCTCGTGTGTGTGTTAGTCTCGTGTGTGTTAGTGTTAGTCTCGTGTGTGTGTTAGTCTCGTGTGTGTGTGTGTTAGTCTCGTGTGTGTGTTAATCTCGTGTGTGTGTGTTAGTCTCGTGTGTGTGTTAGTCTCACGTGTGTGTGTTAGTCTCGTGTGTGTGTTAGTCTCGTGTGTGTGTGTGTTAGTCTCGTGTGTGTGTTAGTCTCGTGTGTGTGTGTTAGTCTCGTGTGTGTGTGTGTTAGTCTCGTGTGTGTGTGTTAGTCTCCTGTGTCTGTGTTAGTCTCGTGTGTGTGTGTTAGTCTCGTGTGTGTATGTATTAGTCTCGTGTGTGTGTGTGTGTGTTAGTCTCGTCTATGTGTGTTAGTGTTAGTCTCGTGTGTGTGTGTGCTAGTCTCGTGTGTGTATGTATTAGTCTCGTGTGTGTGTGTTAGTCTCGTGTGTGTGTGTGTTAGTGTGTGTGTTAGTGTGTGTGTTAGTGTGTGTGTGTGTTAGTCTCGTGTGTGTGTTAGTCTCGTGTGTGTGTTAGTGTGTGTGTTAGTGTGTTAGTCTCGTGTGTGTGTGTGTTAGTGCGCCAGCATTGTCCCCGTTGTGGTCTCCCAACATAACGGGCTCGCAAACGATTCTCCACACTTTTGTAAATAGAATGCATACATAGACAAAGACCCCCCCGTATAGCCTTCATATACTTTTGGGGCAAGTGCTGTTAGCGAGCACCTATGAAGGGCCGGCACGGCACACGAGTGGGTGGGTGGCCAACACCCCGCCCGGCCGCCTTTGCCGCCCGGCCGCCTTTGTCTCCTGAGTTGGCGATGTTTACGCACTGCACCAGGTACTTATTTGAGGCTGAGTCGACCTAGGGGAGGCTCAGAACCGGTTCAGATAATCGTCACCGGTGTCGGCCGTGAGCGGGAATCGAACTCGGGTCGCCTCGCTCATAGCGCAGTGCACTAACCGCTTTACTACCGCTCCCCACATGCTAAAACACACACATACAACAACCGCCATTCGCCACTAAGTGGCGGTGACGTCACCACGACGCTTGTGCCAGGCTATGTGCACCTTGAGGCCACGTGAAGTGTCGAACGCCCGCTGGCAGGAGGTCACGGGGCAGACCCAAGTGCCACGGGTCGATTGACTAAGGTGACTGAGATGACTGGCTGATGCACCACCTGTGCCCCCTACTGTGCGAACCTGCTGTGCTTTAGCCACCCAGCGCTCCGCTCATTGTTGTGAGCGTCGCTCCTCCGCCCTCCGTTGTTGTTGGAGGGCGACTACCTTCAACTGCCCAGTAGCATCCTTCACGAGCCTCCTCCACAGAGGCCGATCTTGACACCGCTGGTACCAGTCATCGGCAAGTCCACTCAGCTCCACGTCCTCCTGTACCACATCAATCCATCTCTTCTCTAGCCTGTGCCGCGCCCGTTTAGCCCCCTCGGTCCGGCCGAACAAAAGCTGTTTCGGCATGCGGTGGCTGGGCATGCGGGCTACATGACTCAGCCAACGCAGCCTTGCCTGCCGGAGGAGCTCACCAATGGGACCTTGCCCAGATCTTTCAAGGATTTGTGAGCTCCTCACACAATCCAGCCTGGTTAAACCCAGGATGGATCGTAGGCAGGCTAGCCTAAATGTTTCTAACCGGCGAAGATGTTTCATTAGGGGGGTCCACGTTTCGCAAGCGTAGAGAAGGGAGGGAATGACCGTGGCCGAGAAGACCTGAAGCTTAGTGCGGAGCGACAGACCAGGTAGTTTCCACACAGCGTTACGCAACCGATGAAAATATATTTGCCGCTCGACTGATTCGGAGTGAGACCTCTGCTGTTAAACTGGAGCCGGTCATAAGCACACTGCCCAGGTATGGGAAACTCTCCACTCTCTCCACAACTGCCCTATCACCGATTGGGAGTTGTGGGGGTGGAGTGTCCGATGGTACAAAACACCCAGGCAGGTGCTTAGTTTTTGTGGGGCTGATGGTAAGGCCCCAGCTCTTAGTAGCACGCTTGAGTCTCAGCAGCAGTGTCTCCAACTCCTCCTCTGAATGACCAGCTATTACCAAATTATCGGCTTATATAACGTGGTTGAGCAATAGGGAGCCATCCCTTGACCGCACCCGGGCATCGATCAGCCTCCCATTATATCTGTACCAAATGGAGATTCCCCCAGTACAGCTATTGAAGGCTTCACGAACTACGTGGTAAAAATAGATGTTAAATAATTTGGGAGCCAGAGGACAACCCTGTCGCACCCCAAGGTGTACAGGGAATGGCTCTGACTCCCGGCCACGTAGTTTTACCCGGGCCCGCTCACCATCATGATCGTGAGCAGAGGGTCAGGGACTCCAAAAGCACGAAGAACAACCCAGAGCCCAGGCCTACTGATGGTATCATAGGCCTTGACCAGGTCAATAAAGCAGAGATGTAGGTCTTGCTGGAATTCCCTATACACACGCATACACACACACATACACACATACATACACACACACACATACACACATACATACATACACACACATACACACATATACACACACATACACACGTTTCATAACACTTTTTCGAACAAAGTTGCCGAGCACAGGCCCAAAACGCGAAGAATCTGGAAACAAACGGCACTATCGAAGGCCGTGATAGATCAAATCTAAAACACATTAATTGGATTAGATAAACTTATTAGAGCTCGGGATAAGAGGCAATGGAAGGGAACTGCAATTGAGCTGTGTGCGAGAGAAGAAGCAGATTATGTTTTGACATGCAGTGCATGCCTGGTGAGTGTCTGGTGAGTGTCAGGTGTGTGGTGAGTGTCTGTTGAGTGAGTGTCAGATGTGTGGTGAGTGTCTGGTGAGTGAGTGTCAGGTGCGTGGTGAGTGTTTGGTGAATGTCAGGTGTGTGGTGAGTGTCTGGTGAGTGAGTGTCAGGTGCGTGGTGAGTGTCTGGTGAGTGAGTGTCAGGTGCGTGGTGAATGTCTGGTGAGTGAGTGCCAGGTGTGGTGCGCTGAGACACGTACCGCAGTGTTCCCCCTGCAGTGCCCTTGTGAGTGTGGTGCACTGAGACACGTACCACAGTGTTCCCCCTGCGGTACACTGAGACACGTACCACAGTGTTTCCCCTGCAGTGCCCTTGTGAGTGCGGTGCGCTGAGACACGTACCACAGTGTTCCCCCTGCGGTGCACTGAGACACGTACCACAGTGTTCCCCCTGCGGTACACTGAGACACGTACCACAGTGTTCCCCCTGCGGTACACTGAGACACGTACCACAGTGTTCCCCCTGCAGTGCCCTTGTGAGTGTGGTGCGCTGAGACACGTACCACAGTGTTCCCCCTGCGGTGCACTGAGACACGTACCACAGTGTTCCCCTGTGGTACACTGAGACACGTACCACAGTGTTCCCCCTGCAGTGCCCTTGTGAGTGCGGTGCGCTGAGACACGTACCACAGTGTTCCCCCTGCGGTGCACTGAGACACGTACCACAGTGTTCCCCTGTGGTACACTGAGACACGTACCACAGTGTTCCCCCTGCAGTGCCCTTGTGAGTGCGGTGCGCTGAGACACGTACCACAGTGTTCCCCCTGCGGTGCACTGAGACACGTACCACAGTGTTCCCCCTGTGGTACACTGAGACACGTACCACAGTGTTCCCCCTGCAGTGCCCTTGTGAGTGCGGTGCGCTGAGACACGTACCACAGTGTTCGCCTGCGATGCCATCACCACAGGGATGCAAATTTGCGGCCAAAGGCGGAGACAGCTGTGGGGACAGAAACAGAGAAAACATCACAAAATGTATTAGCATAAACAGAGGTACTGCCAAAACTGGCGCGGACGAAGATTTATTACAGCTCGCAAGCATCCAAAGAAGCTGGCAACGTTGGTGTTGTTGTTGTTGTGGCCATCACTGTGCTCAGCCACTTTTGCCTTCCCATTTCCTCAGAGCTAAGATATGCTTATAAATAAGCGTACGATAGGGTTGACCCAGCATAAATAAAGATTTCACGAAATCAATTGCAGTGGAGACGGGAATGCTGGCTGCATTTAAACGTCGATCGGTTTCCCAGGATTTCGGAACGGCGGCAATGTCCCTCGATGGAAGTGTGGGGTTCACAAGGCAAAGGGACCCCAGCCCCGGCTAAGCCATCGTCAATAGCCAGAGATCGCATCGGAAACAGATGCAGCAATGCAATCAACGAGCAGGGCATTTAGTAACTCGGCCCTACGCTGCCGCAGTGAGCGAAGGAGACTCGTCTATCCGATGACACCCAGTGGATACTGCGCGAAACTTACAATAATAGAATGCAAACATGGATAGATTTAAGCGATGTGAAATTTTCTTCATTTTCATTTAGAGCAATGGGGTATTGTGCATCTCTATTGGCAGTCCTGAACCAGCGGTGAACATTCCACATTCTCAGAGTAGGGCCCAAGTTTTTCCACGAAATAACCACCACCCTTTTGAAAGTGGTGGCACGTGAGGCTGCAGTGATTTGAACTCCGACCCTCGGATCGTGAGTCCAAAGCCTACCGCTGTCCCTTTCCATAATACCACCAGACTAGCTCAGCACTCATTTCAAGATATAAGATCGCTTGTTTGGAGAACACTGCACTTCAATCCAGAAGCTTGCAAACGAGGATGATTTCATGATATAATGATATTGTAAAAATACACAAAGCACATTACTCGCAGAAATTCTGTGCGAAAATCTATCTTTTTCACTGAAAAGATTGTGAAAGAAAGAAAAATAAATAACCAAATAACCTTCAGAAAAATGCACCTGCTCTATCGATACATTATTTAACATTTGCACTGACTAAAGGGCCTTGCGGTTTAAATGTCGAGCCCTTTATTTGTGGATTCCGCGCTCAAAATTCAACCGGCTGCGCGAAAATAAATACACGCTCTCGGGCTTACTCCGAAACACCCGGTACTCCAGCAAACGTCACCGCAGCAGAACTAAGAGTAAACAATGAACATTGAATGCTTGTTCCACGACCTATGCAGTAATGTGTGGCTTTCACTGCACGGATCACACACGTCGCCTCGAATGAAACGTGCCAACAACTTGCACAGTGCCATCTTACGTCGGGGACGCATTTAATCCGGCAGCCCGGAGGCAGAGTTGGCAGATCGTTCTGTGCTCACACGCGTGCTGCTATAAACTGAAACTATAAACTATTTTTATTTTACCAGGTAAGACCCACTGAGCTATCCAACTCTTCTTTTAGAAGCGACCTGGCCACAAATGATAGCTCAACGAAGTGGCTTATCACGTGTGGACATTTCTCGCAGCCAAATACTCTGAACGCGTGGCGATTCTAAATGTAGGAGGGAAAAACCAAAGGACCCGGAGAAAAATCCACACGATCACAGGGAGAGCGTGCAAACGCAAACTATGCAGGTGTCCTCTCGGGATCGAACCCACGACCTCCTGTCTACCAGGCGAGCTAGTCAACATCTCGCCACCGTGGCGATACACCTGACCGAGCAGGAGAGCATGCCTGCATAAGGCAGTAGAGCAAGTAAGCTGCCGAGCTATTCTCTAAGAGGTGGAACGTTATCCTCTCGTATGTGTGGCTTTTCTCCTGACACCTCGGTTTGCACCCCATCAGCATAATTACTCAACAAGGAATTAAACCAAACAACTTAATTGCAGAACCCATCAAAATATAGTATTGAGACTCAGTAAAAATAATAACATTCATGAAAAAGTGATGGATGAAACTCTGGTGAAAGTATTACATTTGCGATTGGAAGGTCGCAAGGTCAATCCCAAAATAACGCATCGATCATCCCCCTGGGGCTGTCAACAGTGGTAGTTTTATCGATAGAGTATTGTTGCTGCAAGAATTAGGAATTTCCTCCCCCCCCCCCCCCGAGCCATGGTCTCTGCCTGTGTGTTTAAGCAGTGATAGACACCAGCACTCACTTAAAAGTTATTACCGTCTTCATAGTTTTAGCAACCACAATTAAAACTAAATATATCACACGTAAGCCGTTCCAAGAAATGTAACTCCTTGGCATTCTCAGCAGTTGTTTCTTTCTTAATTAAATGTAATAATGTACATAACGCTAGCCCAATTGCGCCATCAGCGTCAAGACATGAGGTGAAGTATTCCATTGGATCCCTGAGAGAGCAGTGCCACCCTGCGTGCTGGACAGCCATCCAGATAATGTGCGACGTCACAGAGCCACCTCTGAGGTCCGTACAAGTGGCATCTGGTTGCTCACACGAGTGGGGGGGGCAGCACTTTCCCACTGGCTCTGCATGCGAGGGTAACAATGTTTGGTCGCACAAAAGTCGAAGCAACATTTGCATTCTCAGCGCTGGAATTTATTCAAATTACGTGCAGAATAAAATTGAATGCGATGGGTTTTCATTTTATTTTTGTTGCGATGCTGTCATTGGAGACCAGGCTGAGGCCATCAAATGGCCACACTTGAGAACCCGGTTTCACCACCGGCAGCTGCCTGGAATCGAACGCAGGCTGTCAGCGGTGTCTGCTCAGGGACACTGCCCTCTGAGCAGCGTCGTCATTCCTTGCCAATTTGCCTTATGCATATCTAAATAACGCAAATCCAATTTAAAAATGCTATCGAGTGGATGTATGTGGTTTCACTTTTTGCTACCCTGCAGCCTATAAATAGTTAACTCATCGTAATAAATGGCTTCTAATTTTGCACAGTCTTTTTTTATGTCACTTGATTAATGCATTGTCTGAAGGGTCACGTATACTTTCCAGCGCTATCTGGAATTTGAATTGATTTATAATGACCTTGGTGATAGTCAAAGCAAATCCTGCTTGCTGCCAGAGAAGAAGGGCCTGAACAATGAGTTGTTTTTTACACACGTAATAATGTGAAAAAGTATCGATATTTTGAAGCTACTCGTGGTATTAGATCGCGAGTGATTAATAGATTTGGTCAAGTCTTCGTCGTTTTATCCCTCCTCAACCTTTGACTCAGAGACCGCCACTGGTCTTAATATACACAAGTAAATGTACAACCGCGCGTCCTCCGGATTATGGGACACTCTGTCAGGTAAGAAGCACGCCAGACTTGAGTCGTGGAGGCTAAAAAAAGCTGTTCTAGAATTGGGAGAATGCAGTGCGATGGAGAACCGCCTTCCAGAAGATGACTCGTATGCTCCTTGATTAAAACACATCTGCAGTAAAACTAACTTATTCCCCGGATTATAAACGGCGCACTTCAAACTTTCACTCTAAAATACAGGACTTATATTGGACGTGTGTGAGCGATTCACTGCACAAATCAGTGCACTCTATAAATCAGACTTATTAATGATATAAGGGAAAAGCAGTAAGTCATTATCTGGAGAATATAGTATATGTAAAGAGAACGGATAGAATGATTTACCCCTTGGAGAAAAATAATAATTTCAACTTATAACGCGAACAGTATTCACTCACTGTCGAAGAAAGGGAACGACTCAGAGATGTGAAGAGGATCCACAGACAAGCGGGAAGGCAGCTACGTGGTGAGCCCGTGCCAACAATTGCCCAAGATCTGCGAACCTCTATATATTAAGGCATGATCAGCCAATTAATGAGTGCGTACACACGGGAGGAAACTGTAAACACCCACAGAAAACTCACGCGTGTGAGGGGGAAACACTCTATCCCATACAGATGGAACAGGTCGAGTCCATATTCTTGCTGCACCGCATTCGCCTGGCAAGCCAGGGTACACGGCTCCTCGACACCCAAGGAAAGGGAATTTCACAACATCTGTGCGGTGATTCACCAACGCTCGCCTCCACCAGCGCTGGCCTAGAGGCGTGCGTAGCCACCACCGCCTGGTTGATGCGAGAATTCGTCTCAACTTAAAGTGGCACCCTGTAGAGCAGGGCTTCTCAAACTGTTTCACTACACAGCACTCGCTTTCCAGATTGCTCAATCGTTGCAGCACAACGAACCAAAACCCGCACGATGGGCCCGGGCGAGAACAACGTATCGTCGCTCACGACGCACGCCGCTCATAGCGGCTGCCTGCTCAACTGCGCACGTGCGACCGAGGGAGCTAAGAGGGCCGGGGGTGAGGGCTGACGGCTGTCTCCACTGCCGTGCTGCGCACGTACGACCAATGGAGAGGTGGGAGGCTGGATCGCCCATTGAACGTCACGGAGGAGAGCTCGCCTGTCCCAGCTCGCGAACAAGCGAGGTCTCGGTCCTTTTCTACAATCCAAAAAACACCGCGGAACCGCCGGTTGCGAAGCCCTGCTCTAGAGGGGCTCGCTTGAGGTCACTCTCTCTCGGAGGCCGTTCCGCACTCGTTGGTTCGAGCAATTGCGCGTCTGCGCCTTTACCTTTGTGTTTATGAAAAAAACAAGTACAGTACCCAAATGTGTTCGCGATGGGTCTCCCCTTCAGGACCTACCACCCGTTGCGTTACTACTTTGACAATTCGAGCCATTACCCGGACGGAGGGCTCGGGAAATCGGTGTCACTTTTCCAAGCAGAGTGGGCTGTGCACTATTGACTGGTATCGACCGAACGCATCGGCGCTTGCATCTCGGACGCAGGCAAACAGGCACTTAATTACTCATTGACACAGGGGGTGGCGGCACATTCATTTTCACATTCACTCACGATCCCGAGAGCGCAGATTCAGGGCCAGGGACACATCCATCAGTGCTGCCACTTGTAAACGGGCCGCAGGCACAATCAGCCCTCTCGTTCATCACGGCAATCACGGCAATCGCGGCGTAAATACCACTGTGTAATGTTGAGATGCAC